CAATAAGAGGGGGAACGAAGCACGGCACATATATCGGAGCCGTTGGTGGACGCTTATCTTCTTTCCATCGCCAAGTATCCCCCGTTCAAGCTTGAAGGCCCCAGGGCTACCAAGGGGAATGGGGGTCGTCCCAATTCTCCCCAGGCATAACGCGTCCGCGACCGCAACAGCTAAACATATCGATACATAACGAAGGTTAGGCAAGTTAGACCCTCTGGCAGCCACAATCTTCCGCGTATACCACACGGACCGTAATTCGGGCAGCCCTTCGGGCAGGCTCAGAACACCCTATTTCTCTGATTTAATTGGGTGCAACCGATGCCCCTTACAAGGGAGGAGGAGGAAGAGGAGGAGGAGGGTGGGAGGAGGAGGGGGAGACGGAGGAGGACGAAAAGGAAAAGCATGAGGAGGAAGACGAAAAAGAAGTCGAAACATCCCTTGTTCCAAAGGTACGGTTCCCAAATATCTGGCGGCCTCGTGGGCCCTTCCGGCCTCCCAGATAACTTGGGATTGCCCGCGTTCTGTCGGCCTGTTCCCGCCCTCCCCTATCGCGGGGGCAGCCAGGCTGGACGCCGCGTTGTTTCATCGTCCGCCCCAACATTTGATTTGGCCACTTGCTCCTATTATCATGTCAGCTTGCGTTTCGAAATGCACGTCGGTGTTCAAGCCGGCGTGCATTCCGAACTGGGGTGGGATATGCGTATCGGAGGCACTTCCGGTTGCACTTGGAGGCGTCCTTGGAATTCACTTTGAACTGGGCTGCCATGCGCATGTGGGCTACACTTCCATGGCAGATTCAATTTTGGATCCGGAAATCATGCCGCCGTGCATCTCGATGACCAAACAAGTTCGCATGCCGACGCGCATTCCGATGCGCATGTCCCACGGGGCAACCACGGGACACCCCTCGAAGCAACCGCGGGACCCTTCGCTGAATCACCTGCGGGACAGCCGCGAGACAACCCGCGAGACAACAAACGGACAACCATGGGACAATCACGCGACAACCCCGCGCCCCACCGCGAGTTGTCAGCGGAGCCGTGTTGTCCGATCCGGCATCGGGAGCGGCCGACGCACCGTCGCCCTCAATCCATGGCGCCCTGTCTACACGCCCGCGACGCGAGCCGACGCCCGGACAGATTCCCTCGCTGGGGCAATATCTTTCTCAGTCTCACAACCTTGGGTCCTAGAGGAAGAATCGGTGCACAACTCTACGCGCGCACGCATTCGAGGCGCGCGAGTTTCTCGGGCAAGCTCTGACCCCCCCTGGCGCACGGAACGCGCCAAGGGCGGCGCCAGACGTGCCGCTAGAGGCGGTCGCTTTCTCATGCCGGTTTTCTTCATCTTCGATATCCATCTGCGCCGAACCGGGCCGGGCCCGTCCTAGCGGACACGCGGACTCCAGGCCAAGGACATGAGCGTTTGCTGGCACTTCGACCGCGCTCGCGGCCACGGCTCCAGAGCGCCCATCCAGACAAAGCTAAGGCAGGATGCAAGGTGAACGGAAAGCGCAAGTCGAAGAGTTATGACGCATTCGCCGCGCCGCAGACGATTTCGCGCACAGACGCCTGCCAAATCGTCGCCTGGTTCAGGGCATCTAGAGCTGCATGCAGCTCCGCTGCAAACGCGCTGCGGCACGCGCGCGGTTGCTTCCTCGGAAACAAACAATCCACTAATAAAACTCGCCCGCGCTGGCTTGCAGCATAGCAAGTGCTGTCGCGGCCCACTATTCACAGGATGACACAATCTCTCGCAGCTAGTCCATCGGCATCCCCAGCGCCGAAGGAGCTTTCCAAGACGCGCGCGAGTTTGGGCGGGGTCTCGAGCATGTCGTGCTCGAGCACATGCGGGCGCAGCTTGATCAAGTGGACGAACCTGCTGAGACCTCTCGCGCGCGTCTAAAACATGGGTTCGGGAGTGGCGTTGCCAGTAACAAAATGTAAACAACGCATGCAATATCTGTCGCGTGAATTCAAGCCGCGCCGCCAGGAGGGGCCTGGCAAGCTGTGGCCAGCACTGCCGGAACTGGTGCGTCTGTCTAAGTCCTTATGCCAATACTTGGCCAGATCGACCAAGCTGAGCGTCTTGGCATACTCGTGACGTAGCCATGTGCTGCCGTTCGGCTGTTGCGCACGAAGCCATGCCAACGTGCTCGGGCGACCTGGACCTAGACCCGCGCTTGATCTTGCCAAGATTGGCCCCCAGGTGCGCAATGAGAGGCATCGCGCGCCCTGTCCTCCCCAGCCCTCATCAGGTCGTCAGAACGCGCGGGCTCGATGACATGCAGCTGCCCATGAGCACCGTGCTGCGCAAATAGCTGGGGATCGGACGCGGCCGCATGGAGCCCGAACTCCGCCGGAGTCTTGACGAGCGCGACTTCCCGCATCCCGGGCGCGAGCTTGAGCCCGAACCCCAGTCGGAGCATATTCCAGACCTCCCTCCAGCCGTCAAAGAAGCGTGGCAAGGGGTATCCCGAAGCAGCGGCGCGCGCCGCGACTGCCCTCGAACTCGCGTTCGCTCTCGGCGTCGGCTTCGCCGCAATAGCTCGCGCCGTCCGCGAGCAACTCGTGCGGAGATCCTGGATTCCCTTCGGTAGTCCATTGTCCGTGCTTCGAAACACTCCTTCGAGGCCAAAAGGACTTCGCCCGTTCCGGTCGTCGGAAACGCGTCCATACCGTAACCGCGATGGTCGTCACTTCCCCTGGCGAGTGACTAGCGCCACTGCCCCTGGCTAGTTGGTGGCTGGTCCGTCCAGTGCGGACTGGTGTCCGCTGGGAAGCGCAAGCCCTCCTCAAGGGTCCTGGCGCCGGCGTGCGAACGCTCCAGAAGATGACACTGATCCCGGATCTGTTTCAGAAACACCTCGAAGAATGGCCCCTCCTGTGGGAAGTGCCCCCCGTGGGCGGTCAACAAGAAAGGCCAGCGCATCTTGCGGATACCCGTCTGGCGGAGCAGCATCCAGGTGAGGCCGCCCGCGCCTACCTGAAAGTCCCCAAGCTCGCTGGCCCATTTCCTGATGACCTCGGAACGGCCCAGGCAATCGTCGATCGCCTCGCGCGGCAGCCCGCGAAACGCGGGGAGCTCGATGTTGAGCAGGGACCGACCGTCCCGGCATTCCAATAGTTCTACCCTGCCTCGGACTACATTCGCATAGTTCCCAAATAACGACTAGTTTTTCGAAATAGTCACGGAGACCTATCATCGAGACTGTATAGCTGTACTAATACAATCGGTTCCCTTGTTCGTAGAACATTGATCTGGTACAGATTTGGGTGCGGCCAGCGAGGCTGGTTCCGGAGCGCCCCAGGAGGGGCAAGACGGCACCAGATGGCCCCAAGATGGCCTCGAAGGCCCCAGGAGGCCCCAAGAGGCCTCAGGAGGTTCCAGCGAGCGCCCCAAGACGGCCACGATGCTCCAGGTAGCCACTGGACGGCCCAACGTGCTCCCCAGATGGGCCAAGGGGGCCCGAAGATTACTCCCAAGAGGCTCCTGGGAGTGACAAATTATAAGCTTTCATTAGGTTCCGGTGCCATTTTCTCATACTCGGCGTCTCGGTCTCTAGAGCGCTCGAGACGGCCGACGAGGCCCCCGAGATCGTTCCAAGATGCCCCAAGACGAGCCAAGGACGGCCTAAGAGGGGACCAAGACGGCCCCCAGACGCTCCAAGAGGGGTTCAAGGCTCCTCCTCCTCCTCCTCCTCCTCCTCCCCCTCCTCCCCTCTCCTCCCTCCTCCTCCTCTCTCCTCCTCCTCCTCCTCCTCCTCCTCCTCCTCCTCCTCCTCCTCCTCCTCCTCCTCCTCCTCCTCCTCCTCCTCCTCCTCCTCCTTCCTCCTCCTCCTCCTCCTCCTCCTCCTCCTCCTCCCTCCCTCCCTCCTCCTCCTCCTCTCTCCTCCTCCTCCTCCTCCTCCTCCTCCTCCTCCCCTCCTCCTTCCTCCTCCTCCTCCTCCTCCTCCTCCTCCTCCTCCCCCCCAAGAGGGCCCCAGGACAGCCCGACGGGGAACCCAGACCGACCCAGAACAGCCCCAAGAAGCCCTCAAGACTGCCCAAGGAGGGACCCAGGCGGCCTCCAAGGGCCCTAAGACGGCCCACGAAGCCTCCCAAACAGAAAGCTCGAGGCCGGCCTCAAGGAAAGGGTCCCATGTGGACCACCGGAAAAGGCCCACAGGGGACCCTAGATTAGCACGGCGACGATCAGGAAGCTCATGGATAAACACATACTCGTATGTATGTATATAAAAAGACATGTTTACATGTATGTATGTCCATGCCTTCACACATTATATATGGAGCTGTGTTTATATATATATATATATATATAGAGTGAGAGGGAGAGAGAGAGAGAGAGAGAAGACATAACGAGAAACATAAAGGAAGAAAGAGAGAGAGAGAGAGAGCAAGGGCGGGCGCATGATTCGCCAGATTCGATTTCAGGGCGCCTCCCCCGCCCCGGAAGAAAACGCCCGCTTGGGAAGATTCTGACTGAGCCGCTGGAAACGCCGGTGTTGGCCTCATTTCCTCTCGCGCTGGGGCTTAGGATGCCTCCACACGAACTCCCTCATCTCAGTCTTGGTACGGAGACAGTTGGTTAGATGCCCAACAGCACATGTTGTCCAAAACCGACAGCCACCGCTGTTGGGTAGACGGCCTTCTGTCTAACGTTGGCAACGTCCGCGGCGACACCGATAACGAGACCTTGTCGATCGCACTGGCTCGCCCTCCTCGCCATCATGCTGGGAACCTCCGAAATCGGCGGTGGACAAACCTCCCTTTATGAAACCTCCCTTCATGAAAACGGCCAGGGACTGAAAACGACGGGCCTGGACCCGCAAAAATGACGGCTGCAACGCCCTCTCGCGAACCGGAAACGGCCAATTCCTTAATCGACGTGTCAGGGTAGGAGGTCTGTCCTCCTACGACGATCAATCCTCTATCCTCTATCCTCCTATCCTCCTCCTCCTCCTCGTCCTTCCGATTCCTCCGACAAAAGAAGCACCCTGGAACCTCCGGAAGAGCCGACTGGTCAGGCCGGGCCGCCGCGAGGACCTGTGCTGCGGGCGGGGCTCGGCGTCGGGCTCCGGCTCCACGGCGGGCTGCAAGGTGGGTAGGGGGCATTTTTTCATACATCGGATTTCTAAAAAGATAGGGTTTGTAATACATGGTTAATCAATGATAACATGTATCATGAACTCATCGTTGTTTAAACTACTAAATCCCTTCATGTGTAATACATGATCCGCACGCGGGGCATGTATTAAAAACGGCAGTGTAAGGAGGAAGGGGAAGACGGGCGTCTTTTGAGCTCGACTCCGGAAAGTAAAACACGCGTGCTCCGCCTCCGCTTTCGTCCGAGGGTCGTCGGCGGGGGGGCAGGCGACGAGGAACGACAACAACAATTAAGGGTTCCGCGGCCCAGGGGCGTCGTCGTCGTCGTAATCGTCGTCGTCGTCGTCGACGTTGTCATCGTCGTGCCCTGGCAGCGCCGAAATCCATCGAGAGCAGCAGCGGGGGAACAAGAGCAGTTTTGATGAGAAGAGGGAGTAGGAGGAGGAGGAGGAGGAGGAGGAGGAGGAGGAGGAGGAGGAGGAGGAGGAAACAGGAGGAGGAGGAGGCGGAGGAGGCGGAGGAGGAGGAGGAAGAGGAGGAGGAGGAGGAAGAGAAAAAGGTGGAGGAGGAGGAGGGGGAGGAGGAGGAGGGGGAGGAGGACGAGGAGGACGAGAAAGAAGAGAAGGAGAAGGAGGAGGGCCAGGGGCTGCGGCCCAAAGGCCACAGGAGGTCACGACGCGGCGATTCTCGCCAGGAGTAACTGTAGCGATAATGATAAACAGGTTTTGCTTTGCTAGAGCAAGAAGGACCTACGGACACAACTGCATGAATACCACATCACCTAACTCCTGCATGGGGGGTCCTCAGGGCCCAACAAACTACACCGCGCAACGTGCCCCCTTGGAATGCCGACGGCGGGTGCCGACTCGGAATGTCAGCCCAATTCATGTACTGATGAGGTCCCCCCTTGCTAAATCAATGGCTTCGAAGCTCACATTGGTACTGCAGAGCGCCCAAGGGGGAAACAACAGCTCAGCACAGAATAGTGCAAATACTCTCGGCTGGAGCTCAGAATCACGCAGCCGCTCAAGGACCTTCAACCCTGAACTCCAAAAGACAAGCGTCCGTCCTCCGGCCCTGTACGAGCAAATGAGGGGTTGGAGGCACGTCGGCCCCAGATATGCTGCTCCTTGCAAAAAGCTCTGCGCGACTGTTCTGCCAGTGCCTTGAAACGCGGAGTAGCGCACCACCAAGTGTAAGTGGTCTGGGACTGAGTGGCCACGCTACGACTGGACCTAGTTTCTTCCGTCGGGCTCGTACTCTCTGCAACCAGCGTTCACGCGTAAGCTCAGTGGTCCGAGGAGCTCTCCAACACGCGAGACTTAGCAAGCCAGTATCCTACTCGACAGCGGACTGCCACCACTACCGCAATCCTAACAAAAATCGGCGCAATGTGGGATCCCCGGCCGCTAGCCTCAGCAGCTGAATGCAAGGGGCAGGCCTTGATGTCGTAGTAGTACCCGTCCGTCGCGACGCCCTCCGTCTGTTGCAAGAGAGCCGCTGTCGTGATCGCGCGGGGGCAGGCGCCCAGGCAGCCAACCCGCGGGCTCGACCCGCCCGCGCGACCCCCCCAGCTCGCGGTTTGCGTCCGCGTAGATGCCGCTCGCGAGCCTGAGAAAATCTCCACTCCAAGGATCTTCGCGCTCAAGTCCGCGATGTTCTGATCCGTGCTGACCGCGCCAAAGTCCACGAACTTCCGCGCGATAGCCTGATGGAGCCAGACCACCCGCGCATCCGGGCCCCTGACCCTGCCAACTCCCCCGCGGCGCGCGATCCCTCAGGCGGCCGACGAGTCGGCCAGGGGCGTCGCCGCCACGGTGAACCCAACGGACTCCAACAAGGACTTGAAATAACAATGGCCCCTCCGCCACCGCGGTAGCCGCGCGGTACTCGGCAACGCCAGAACTTGTCGCGACGATGGGCTGGCGCCTCGGACCTCGTCGACCTCGACGACCTCGATCTTGCCACTCGACTGGGACATCCTGGTCTGCAGGTCGCCCGCCCTGTCGCTGTCCGCGTGCCCGATCTGCCCCCCGAGATCTGGCTTCGGCAGCCAGTTCATCACACTCCGGGTGCCCATGAGGCACCTGACCAGCCTCTCCAGCGCGGTGAACGCCCCCGCCGTCGGGCCCGACAGCATCCTGCCGAGCAGGCTGACCTCGCACTGGGCATCGGCCCTGTCCTGCACGTAGTACATCAGCGCCCCCCCGCGCGCGAACGATAGATGCTCGCCTGTTCTGGGCCCGGCAAAAAAGTGGAGTACATGAGCGCTTTGTGCGCCGGCACCCCCGGTTCGCCTGGAGCTCCGCGCCGGGCTCGAACGTCGTCTCGAGACGCTCCAGGTGCTCGCAGGCGACGCCGAGCTCGTAGATCTCGCTGCCACTGGAGGCACGCACCTGCCTGAGCTCGTCGCGGAAGGCTTCCAGCAGCTCTCTCCTCCCAGCCAGGTGCAAATCGTGCGCGTGCAGCTCGACCATCAGCTCCCGATCGGGGTCGTAAAAGAACTGGGGGCCACCTCGCGCCTGTTAATGTTCATCCGGTCCGCCAGCACCCCCGCCATGTGGCATGTCCACCCCAAGGCCGCCGTGCGCCTGCCAGGCATATGCTTCCTGAGCTTCCAGTGGATGTCCGCGCTCTTGCCCTGCGCCCTGAGCCGCTCCAAGTACTCGGGCGGCGGGTTCACCGCGGCGCCCGCCGTCTCGGGAGCCCGGTAGAACGCGTCAGCGGCGTCCACCGTCAAAACCTCGAAATCCCGCTTGAGCGCCGCGAAGTCGATCAGCCTGTTCGATATAGCCGACTCCGATTTCTGGATGTCCTCGCCGACTCCGTGGTCGAGGAGGTTCTGCAAGTGCTCTTCAGTGAACCGCGAAGCCAGCTCGTTCTGCGGGTCCACGTCGAACATGTTCTCGCTTGGTCCTGCGTCTCCTCGGGAACGTCTTCCCAAAAAACGTCGGCCGCGTCGTCGGTGGTCGACGTCGAGGGCGTGGACCGCTGCCACTCGGGCCTGCTCGCCCTCGGCTGCCTCTGCTGCTGGCGAGATCTCTCGCATGGCCGCCATCGGAGGCGCCCCCGTGGCCTGGTCGCTCGCCGCGGGCAGACCTGGCCCGGCCCGTCTGGAGAACCTCTCGTGGAACCAGCCCGCGCGCCGCATCGGCCGCGACCAAATGGGCATGCTCGCCGTGACCCTCGCGCCGTGCCGCGTTTCCACGTCTAGCTTCAGCGCCCGGGTCTGGCCCTCGACGAAATTGGCCGCCGCCTCAGCTGGGTCGGAGGTGGCGACGTGCTTCGGCGTGAGCTCGGGGGCCACCTTGGCCCCCGGCGCCTCGACCACGCCGTCTAGGATGGCCCTGGAAGCTGGCTCGGGGTCGGTCCTGACCCGCGCCTTGCCCGTCTCCAGTCAACCGCTCGACGCCCGCGCTCGCGCCGGGCGAGGCCGCCTTGGAGGGGCGAGGAATTGCAGCGACAGCCCCCGTGTCCGAGCTGAGCGCCACGAGCGCGGTGGCGTAGAGGTCCTCCGTCTTCGCGAGGTTGCCGCCCTCGTCCCCAGTCTTGCAGAAGCCGAAATCAAAGCTGATGAGCGGAGGCTCCTGCTCTGCCTCCTGCAGGGGGCGCTGCGGGGGGCGCGTCTGGCGCCTTGCCCATGACGCACTCGTCGCACCAGGGTGCTGGCGGCGGGCGGGCGCTCTCCTCCCCAGCGCTGGGAGCCTCGGGGACTGGCGGCCCCGTTGGTTCGACTGGGTCGCGCTGGGTCCTGAGCTCCTCGCGACGCGCCGGGCGGCGCGCTCCTTCTCGGCCTGACTCCGTCCGTAGGCCGCTTCGGCCACGATGGGCCACTCCCGCAGCTCGGCCTTCACGCCGTCGATCGGCTGGAACAGCTCGCGCAGACGCGGCCCGACCGAGCCCTCAGCCGTGAAGACCGGCGCCGTGGCCGTCTGCTGCGCGGGCAAACCATGGGTCGGAGGCCCGCCCCAGGGTTGCTGCACTGCGCCGCCGCGCCTGCCAGGGCCCTGCAGCGCCTCTTCCCAGGCCCCGCGGAAGTGATCGGGGGTCTGAGGCTGTTCCTCTCGAGCTCGAGCTGCAAGTTGCGGTGGCCCCTCGCCATCAAGAGCCCGTCCTCCATGCCCAGGTTGAAGCGGAAGCCCTGCCTCAGCTGCTTCCGCATGCTCAGCAGGTCGTCGTTCGCGTCAGCCATCAGCATGTCCGCCGTCGCCTTCGCGCCCTCTGCCATAATCATCTCGACTCCGCGAAGGCCCGCCGTCGGTAGCGGATTGCGCTGCGCGTCAAGCTTCGGCGCCGTCGGAGCCTCCGCAACGGGGGCGTGGGGGGCGATCTTCGGTCAACACAGGTGGTCGTCGCTGCCCGAGTCGATCAACGCCGAGGCGCCGACCTTCGCCACGGAGCCCTCGCCCTTGGCAGTGATATCGAAGACCCAAGCCTCGCCGTCCTCGTACGTCTCGTCGTGGTAGCCGGCAACGCCGAGGAGGCGGCTGCGTCCGAGACCGCCCTTGGGCCAGCAGGTTGCTGCGAGGCCTTCTCGTTGCAGAGCCGCTTGCGGCAGTCGACCCGCTTGTGGCCCCACTTGTGGCACTAGCAGCATTCGCCGTCGAAGTAATTGTTGCCAACTCCCTGACCACTCGGCTGGCCTCCACGCCCAGTTCCTGTCTCACCTCCGTCCTTCGTCGTCCTCTTTGTCTCGGCACCCTGGCCATCGTACTGTCCACCTTTATTGCCGTCCATGCCGAGCCTGCCGCCAGCCTTGCCACCAGCCTTGCTGCTGGCCTTGCCGCCGTAGGTCACGTCGTCCACCTGCGTCGGAGCGGGGCCCGTGCCAGTAGCGACAGTGTTGAAGGTGCGGCCATGGCTGAAAAAACCTCGGATGTGGCTGCGGGCCGCCGCGAACGCGAACTTGCCATCCTCCGGCGCGTGCTCCAACGACACGGCCGATGTCCAAAACAACCTCTCCACTCTGATCCGTGTGCTCGGCCACGTTTGCTTCCCAGGCCGCGAAGGACTGAAACAAATCGGCCCCCGCCTCGCGATATTTGGCCCACTTGTCCTGCGATTTCAGCATGAAGCGAAACATGGCCGTCCACCCGTTGCCAGTCCTACTCCTGTGCTCTTCCTTCTGCTGCCCCCACGCCTCCAGGCCGCTCTTGCGCGATAGCTTGGCCACGCCCATGGCCTTACCGTCGCACCGCATGATCAGCAAGTGCAACAAACTCGCGCTGAACTGAACCGCTCTCTCGCCGAGCTGGTCGTTGGTGACGGGATTCCTGCTCGTCGCCGCCGCCATCACCCGGTCCTCGAGCCCGAGGAGCGCCGTGTAGGCCTCGAACCTCAAGCACCAATCTCCCCAGCGTTCGTCCGTGCCGTCGAACCGCTGCAGCCCCATGTCCGTCCGCACATCGACGACATCTCCCATAGCACCCGCCGTGGCTGCCGGAGGGGAAATACAGCGTGACCCAGGTCCCGTGGACCAACGGAACCCAGGTTCCGCTACCATGCAGCGATAATGAAAAGCATGTTTTCTTTCGCTGGAGCGACAAGGACCTACGGACACAACTGCATGAGTGCACGCATCATCTATCTCCTGAATGGGGGGCCCTCTGGGCCCAGTAACTACACCGCGCAACAGTAGCACACGCTGCAGGGGAGCTGCACGGGCACGCGTGCCACGCGCGCTTCGGAGAGCAAGGAAGCGCCACACCGCTGCCCAAAAAGAAGCGCTGCATCTGGGGGGCTGGAACTGCGCGCGCCGAAATAACCACCTGTGTGGGGAAGGGGGGGGAATGGGAGCCGCACACATACATATATACACACATACACACAAAGGTATGCGGGCCTGCGCCCGAGTTCTAGTGTCAATGGCTTGTTGAAGGCCTCCCGCTCGCGAGTCGAACCCTAAGAATGCTACTGCGCGTGCTGGCAATTGTGCGAACGTGGTTCACAGTCTCCAGTCCGCGAGAATGGAGGAGTGACCAGAAACAGGCGGGAGAAACCAAATTCAAATCGATGAGTTGGATCCTGCACATGAGAGTTATACACAGGTGTATTGATACGGACATGCATGCACAAATTTCTCTATACTTATATATATATATACATATGACCATCCACCCCTCTCTCTCTCATTATCATTCTACCTTCACTCTCCAAGTGTCTCCATCTCACCCTGCGCATCTCTATTACCCCACTCCCCCTCGCAGACTGCATCTTACTTTGCGCCTCTCTGCCCCCTCCCCTGAAATCCGACGCAGCGAAACAATTGCAACATCCTAAACATTCACGCCCGGAGCCCTAAACCCAATGTTTCTGCGTCAATCTTCAGCCGGACCGATCTGCGAGGGCTCCGGCCCTTGAAACTCCCAGCTGGAAAAACATGCGACGCCAGGATCTCCGGGTCTGTTCCTCTTTCCCCCCTCTCCCGCCCGCTCCCCCCGAACCAGAATCAGCTGGCACCCGGCCTCTGGACCGCTCGGGGGGCCACCCTCCCGACCAGCTCTCCGAACCACGTCCAGCCGAGGGCGACGAGCCCCCCCCCCCCCCCCGAACGGCCGAGGACCTGACGGCCACGGGGCCTGGAACGTGCCTCCCAACGCTCTGAATCAAGCAGTGGCGAAGCGTCCTGGCTTGCCTACAAGCTCACCGAAGAATGCTCTGACAACCTCTTGTGGTTCGCGCGTAATGCTCTTAGAACTTTGCTGGCTGGGACTGTCTTGTGTGAAAACATAAGCTTTATGTTCTGAGGACATGTTTTCATGATTCGAACAGCCTGTGGCCTGCGAGCATGCCGTGGTATACGGTAGGCCTATAGAAACTGCCAGGACACTCGGTCCCTGCTCAGAAGAAGACTGGCCGTCGTGTTTTTGTTCGCGACGCCGGCGCTTGGAATGCCCCCCTCAACAAACACGGCTGCCGGACCAGCCCAGGACTGCACCAGGGCTGAACCTAAACGGTGTCTTCCGTTTTCGTTTTCGATTTTCTTCGTTCTTCCTCGTTTTGTCTTCCATCCGCCTTCACCGCAAAACGAAGCCGAAACGAAAACGGCCCACGAGATCGCAAGAGCACCGCTTAGGTCCAGCCCAGGAATGCACCACGTGACCAGAAATCCGCGGCGGATCCAGCCGTGGCGACGAGGACACCCACAGGAGGCCTCCAACAGAAGTACACACGTCAGGCAGCGTGTAGGTCCCAGAGGGTTCCTCCCACTCGTAGCGTCGTGGCAAAACGTGTGGCACGGGCTGTTGATGTGCAAAGTTGGGACTCCGCGGACCAGTACTGGGCTCTGAGGTCCTCGAAAGACGACTCAACATGAAGAGCCAGCATCCGGAAGACACCGACTAGAAATCGATCTCTCTGGGGGGGGGAGGCGTTGCGACAAGAAAACACGACTTGGGGAACCCCATGTCCTTCCTCCGCAACGGGCCGGACGAACGAGCGGAACGAAAACGCCGAGTTTCCTCTGGCGTGAGCTTCGTCTCAGGTGCGGCCGCCGACCCAGGTTCGAACGGGACGATGGCGGACAGCTTCTCCAAGTCCTCACCTGCGGGGCCAGCAGGGCGTCAGCGGGGGGGGAGGAGAAGGGAAGGAGGGGATGTGGGGAGGAGGGAGGAGAATGAGGGAGGAGGAGGAAAGGCGGGAGGAGGAGGGAGGGAGGACGAGGGAGGAGGAGGAGGAGGAGGAGGAGGAGGAGGAGGAGGAGGAGGAGGAGGAGGAGGCCCTCCTCCTCACCAGGAGGGGCCTCCCCATGTGGAGATGCCTAGAACCGCCCAGTGAGCCCCCTGGGACATCCAGAAGCCTATCTCCTCCTCCCTCCCTCCTCCCCCTACCCCTCCTCCAGTCATCTCCTCACCAGCCTGTTTCTTTCCTCCAACGGCGGACTGGACCGGTCGTGCCAGTCACCAACCAGGCACCGTTCCTGCTCCTCCTCCTCCTCCTCCTCCTTCTCCTCATCCTCCTCCTCCTCCTCATCCTCCTCTATCATCTATCCTACCTCGGTTCGGGGCCTGAGTTCTCCAGCTGTCTGCTCGGGCCCTGTGGTCTTCGAGCTGCCTGTTCGGGCGCTCAGGTCCGACAACCGTGAAGCTATCCGAGGGCACACGGGGAGCGCGCGCCTTGCCGTGTCGTCCTCCTCCTCCTCCTCCTGATCCTCCTACTCACGCTCTGTTGCAGATGATCCACCTGTGGGGGCGCTCCACGACTGGATCCTCGACTCGGACCCTTTGGAGACTAGGTCACCCGCAGGAGCCCGAAACCGCGTGCACATCGAGCTCCAAAGTCGGGGTCAGGGGGTCGTGAATTCCTTGGGGCCTCAGGGAGCGGAAAGATAATGGTGCTGCTCGCCGCATGCGACGCTACGCACAAGTTCTCGGGCGAGTAGAAGTGGCAGAGGCCGCGAGTGTCCAAAGCGACGTAGGCCAAGGAGGCTGTTCGAACTGATCCCTTGGCACGGGCGAAACGGGTGCTCACCACCCCATACACTCGCAGAGTGACATGGTTACACGCCGGTCGGAAGAAGTAGGTAGAAACATGAAGTAGGAAGGCGGGAAAAGTGGATTGGGTCCAGGCCCCGCCAGAGAACAACAAAGCACAGCAAATACATGTCGATTCTTGAAGTAGGAAGGCGCTTGAAGTAGATTGGGATCTGGGAATCCACAAATACCTACTTTCAACGACCGGCGGGTACTCGTGACGGCCCTTTTCTCAGTCGCTGTAGGATTTCGCCACCAGGGGCACACGGGCCAGATGTTGCTCCGGCTGCACCCGTGGCCCGGAGAACGAGCCTCACAAAGTTCATCGCCGTATGCACGCGCAAAGGCATGGGGACTCACGGTGGCCCACTCCTACTGCGAGGGGCAAGTGTGTCTGTGTTTTTGTCCCTCCTGGAATTTAGACCCCTGATTCTAATACGCCCCGACAAATCGAGCACTCATTTCGAATCTGGGGGCGGTGGTGCTGTCAGCATGCGGCTCTCGTCTGAGCGCCGCGCACGCTCGCCCTGAAAATGGCTCACAACATCAAGGATGGAGTCCGCTTCGTTTTCAACATGCGGCTCTCGCCTTTGCGCCGCGCGCATTCGTGTGCGTGTGCACGTTTCCAACAGTGAGGATGGGGCCAGGTTCGTTTCCAGTTGCGGTTATTGCTGGAAGCTTTCGTGACTTCCACAAGAGGAAGCTCCAACATGCAGCCCCATTACACGGATTGGAGTTGGCTCCTGTACAAACTCGCGCGTTTGACCTCCACAAAGCGCATACCCAGACCTTTTAAACTCTGCAGCTCTTACACACACGAGGGGACGTTATTTTCTGCGAAGCCGTGCTATCGTCCTAACCCGTCGAACTCGTATGTAAACGTAGTAATAAACGCACATATGCGTGAACACATACACGCATACACATGTTGGCCAGCGTGAGCCCGAAACGGTGCGTCTCTGGCAACATGAATTGTGCATCAGATGTGGGCAATACACGTTGTGCAGTATGAGTGGTGACATGTATGGTGTGAAACCTCCGTGGCACAACCATATATTGTGCAATATGAAGGGAACAAACCACGTGGTGCAATCCAGGCGGTGCAATACATGTTATGGAATGCAATATTTGTGTTGTGTGCGACAAAAAACGTTATCTACGTTGAGTTAGGTTGTGCAACCTCTTTGGTGCAATCTGTGTGGTGCAATCAATGTTGTATAATTTGTGGTGTGCAACCTATACCAGTCCAGGTGGAGCATCGTCCGCCAGCGTGCCTCTGGCACGAATTCGCGGAATTTCCCAAGGCTCACAGCTGCGCTGCTGCTGCAGCCATGCTTGCACCTTCTACATAAGCCCCGACCGAAAACTTCCCAGGCGTTCCTGGGCGCTCTCAAACGCGCCTGGGGTGGTCCGCATTGGCCCCTTGGGCGGCTGCAGCGCCCCAGACGACCCGGACACATTCGTGGACGCCCCCACCAAGCGCCCAAGGCGGGTAAGGAACGTCTCTGGACGGCTGAAAAAAAGGCATCCAAGACGCTCCAAAGAGGCCCCCCGAAAAAAAACCCAACATGCAGAAATCGTCCCGTGCCCTTTTGTGGGGAAACGTATGACTTTAGCGTCTGCGCCGTTGGGGTTGTCACAACGTCCGACACGGCCTCAGAGCCACCCGAGATCACCACAAGTTGGCCCAAGAGGCCCCCAAGACCAATCAAAACCGCCCTAAGAGGAGGCCCGCAGGGGGAACCCGAACAGGCATTTCGAGCGCACTCGGCCCAGATGCCCCCAGGAAGCCCCAACAGCCCCCCAACAGGGGCCGACAAACAGCCCCCAAAGGGACCCAAAAGGCCCCCGAGGGGCCCAGCAAGTGCTTCCCAAACGTCGGCCCCGAGAGCGATCCGAAGAGACCCCAAGAAACATCCCCGAGGACTCTGACCCACAAGCCAGGCACGGTTCCTGGATGGGCCGAAGGCCATTCCATACGAGGCGCAATATATACGGTGCAATGTTTGCTCAAGGCTCGGCTGCAGCGAACCACGTCCGACAGGAACTGCGGACCTATTTCTCTGCGCGGGCAGCCGGGACGCATGCCTCCTAAAGCCGGTCGCGATATTCTCTGTAGGGGTGTGGCCGGGATATGTGCCAACAGCGCACGGCCAGGGTGCCTGGCCAGAATGATAATGAACGGTCACCTCTGGAACATCCTCTCGCCCTCGGGGCGGAGGACAGGGAGGGGGGGAAGGAGGGGACAGGGGGAGGAGGGGGAGAGAGGGGGAGAGATGGGGAGGGAAGGGACGGGGGGGGGGGAACGAAGAGGAAGGAGGGGGAGGAGGGGAGGAGAGGGAAAGGCGGACCCCGAACGGCGGCGAGGGAAGGGGTTTGAGCCAACCAAGCATGTTTAGCAACGTGTAAATGGACAGAGACCTCGTCACCCTGCGAAAACCTAATTGTCGCCGATGCGGATCCCCACCCCGTGCGTCCCGGCTGGAGGATCTGGAGGTGGTGGGAAGCGTTCGCGATAGGCATCGGGGTGGAATTTCTTCATTGTTTACCACGCTGCGACTCGCAAGAGTACCTGTGGTGGGTCAGCGTGAGGTAGAATGATGCGCCTGCGAGCCATGGCCGGGGCGGCACGACTGGAATCGTCGGCCTGTTCGTACCATTCTCCAGTTTTCCGTGGTCTCCCGGCGCGCTTGGGACCACTCCATGGCTGCAGCGTGCGTGGGCCGAACGTGCAGGAGGCGACTGGGTCAGTCGCGGGCGCAGATATCAGACGGCAGAACAGATCGAGCTTGAATTGTTCGTACGTGTCGCTGAAGCGCTCGAGGGGTTTGCAGGCTCTCCTGCCGCTGGGGGCATTGCGTGCTTGGTTGAATATAACCTCGTTCGTGCTTGTGCGGTCCTGGCTTCGGGCCATTTGACCGTACGTGATATTGCGTAGTCCTTTCAGTTGGAAAGCGTCGAGCCGCTGTGACTGCCCAGGGGTGACCTGGGTTATCTCCAAGCCGTCCAGCAGTTTGGACCTGCGTACACCATGGAAAACTTGGACTTCGTGTGACACGGTGCAGTCACTGCGCAGCCAAAACGCATCCAATCGCTGTACTGTCTGGTAGCACGTCTGGATGCGGGCGCTGATTTCCTTTCCGACACAATGTTTGTTGTCTACTGAGCAACACAAATACTTCACCGCCTCTGCGCAAGAAAAAATAATGTCATCTCGGTTGTTCAGCCGGCTTGGGCTGGGCGTCCGAAGCTTTCACATTTAGAATTCTCCAGGTAAAAAACCAAATGGCGCGTTTTCTTTCTCGATTGCGTGCGACATGCGCGTAATCTGGGCTTCGTCGGAAGACGCGCACATCGTGTCGTTTGCAATCTCAACAATAACTCCGGGCGCATGCCTTTCCGAAAGCGGCGCGCCGCGCATATTGTATATGTATGAAAGCAGCACGTGCGTAACAACGAGGAAGAGATATGGTGACAGAGGTCACCCCTGCCGGATCCCCGCATCTTGGCGGTGCCATGTGGAATCGTAATTGTCTATGCTAACCTGGAAGGTAGGGTTCCGATACGATGCTTTCACCACGTTGACGATTTTATCCGGCAGTTGCATGCGCTCGAGCGCACTGAATAAGGCTTTGTGCGTGACACGGCCGAATGCTTTTTCCCAGGTGAGGAACAGAAGATAAAGCGGGGAACCCTCCTTGAAGTTGTGAATACTGGCGCCTTGATGTACCATCTGTCTGACTATCTTGAGAGCTTGCAACGTGCTGCGCCGCGCCCGACAACCAAACTGCGTCGGCTGCAGGAAGTGATCGACGTGGTTAGCGATGCGGTCCTTGACGACACCAGCTCGCGGGCCCGCCATCCATCCACACCTTCGGCACGCTGCGCCTCCATAGAAACGAGCTTGCGGCGCAGCATGTGCTCGTGAAGCGAAGGGAACTCGCAGGTGGCTGTGGGGATGTGGTTGCGCAGACAGTCCAAGTACCTCTCCCAAGACGGGGCTGCTGGGGCTCCCGGGGCAACGCCGGCCGCCGCAAGCGGCCGCTCGGCACCACCACAAGCCCATGCGTGCAAAAGTTCTACGCCTGAGGTAGTCCATGCTCCTGATTCCACATGTTGAAGATGGAACGCCAGGTCTCAGTCCACATGTTCTGCGCGTCCAGCAGGTCCACCGCCAGCGAAGCGTCAGGGCGACGCAAATGACGGGCGACGGCCTCCTGCACCCCACTGGCCTGCTTCCTGTGACGCAAGGGGGGGACCGAGGCGCGGCCACCTGTGGCTGACTGCATCCTGTCGGCCCAGCGTCGGCACCGAAACCGAGGTGCACAGCGACGCACCGCTGGTAACGGTCGCGCGCCGCGCTCAGGGTCCTGGAGCTGGCACTGGCACTGGTGGTGGAAGTCGTCATTCACGGGGCTGTTGATCCCGAGGTGGTTGTGCTGGTGGTGGATGGTGAGATGGCTTACGAATGGACGATGGTGGGGGGTCGACCACGGTCATAGCAACCGTGGCAGTTCGGAGACTGCGTGGTGCGCAAAGTATCAGCTGACAGGGGAGATGGGGGGCGATACTGGGTTTCCTGGGACCGTATGACTTCATGTCTGAGATGAAAGATTGGGCAGACGTATGTGTAATCCGTATTATCCCAGGGGGAACCGATCATCCCAGGGCGAGTCGAGCCGAACTGCACCTCATAATGGAAATTATAGGTTAAGGTCGTGCGAAATGTGGAGCCACCTGTGCGGTGCAGCGTAGCCGCCAGACCGCCACCCAAGCCCGGACGACGGACGGCGACGAAGCGGCAACGGGGCGGCGACGGCGATAATTTGAGGGAGTTTCTGTGGAACTACCGTCATCCTCACCCCCGGCGCGGTGCCCAGAGGAGCCCAGAGCGGCCTCCGGCACCGTTTCCGGACAGATCCGCTGGATCCGGTGACAAATCCCAAACCGGCGCCCTCGCTTGAGACATCCTCACAAAACCGGCCCCGGGGGCGGTGCCCAGATGAGCCCAGAGCGGCCTCCAGCACCGTTTCCGGACAGATCCGGAGCCCAGAGCGGCCTCCGGCACCGTTTCCGGACAGATCCGCTGGATCCGGTGACGAATCCCAAACCGGCGCCCTCGCTTGAGACATCCTCACAAAACCGGCCCCGGGGGAGGTGCCCAGAGGAGCCCAGAGCGGCCTCCGGCACCGTTTCCGGACAGATCCGGTGGATCCGCCCGACGAATCCCAAACCGGCGCCCTCGCTTGAGACATCCTCACAAAACCGGCCCCGGGGGAGGTGCCCAGAGGAGCCCAGAGCGGCCTCCGGCACCGTTTCCGGACAGATCCGCTGGATCCGGTGGATCCGCCGACGAATCCCAAACCGGCGCCCTCGCTTGAGACATCCTCACAAAACCGGCCCCGGGGGAGGTGCCCAGAGGAGCCCAGAGCGGCCTCCGGCACCGTTTCCGGACAGATCCGGTGGATCCGGTGGATCCGACGAATCCCAAACCGGCGCCCTCGCTTGAGACATCCTCACAAAACCGGCCCCGGGGGAGGTGCCCAGAGGAGCCCAGAGCGGCCTCCGGCACCGTTTCCGGACAGATCCGGTGGATCCGGTGATCGAATCCCAAACCGGCGCCCTCGCTTGAGACATCCTCACAAAACCGGCCCCGGGGGAGGTGCCCAGAGGAGCCCAGAGCGGCCTCCGGCACCGTTTCCGGACAGATCCGGTGGATCCGCCGACGAATCCCAAACCGGCGCCCTCGCTTGAGACATCCTCACAAAACCGGCCCCGGGGGAGGTGCCCAGAGGAGCCCAGAGCGGCCTCCGGCACCGTTTCCGGACAGATCCGCTGGATCCGGTGGATCCGCCGACGAATCCCAAACCGGCGCCCTCGCTTGAGACATCCTCACAAAACCGGCCCCGGGGGAGGTGCCCAGAGGAGCCCAGAGCGGCCTCCGGCACCGTTTCCGGACAGATCCGCTGGATCCGGTGGATCCGCCGACGAATCCCAAACCGGCCCCGGGGGAGGTGCCCAGAGGAGCCCAGAGCGGCCTCCGGCACCGTTTCCGGACAGATCCGCTGGATCCGGTGGATCCGCCGACGAATCCCAAACCGGCGCCCTCGCTTGAGACATCCTCACAAAACCGGCCCCGGGGGAGGTGCCCAGAGGAGCCCAGAGCGGCCTCCGGCACCGTTTCCGGACAGATCCGGACAGATCCGGTGGATCCGCGCCCCGGGGGAGGTGCCCAGAGAAGGAATGAGGAGGAGGAGGAGGAGGAGGAGGGAGGAGGAGGAGGAGGAGGAGGAGGAGGAGGAGGAGGAGGAGGAGGAGGAGAAGATGATGGAGCTGTGGGGTGAAGGAGGACAGACGGAGGCAAGAGAAGGATGGAGGAGGAGGAGGAGGAGGAGGAGGAGGAGGAGGAGGAGGAGGACCTCATCCTCACCCTCGCCAACAAGCGCACGCACCTTCTTCTATATACAGAAACTCCCGATCAACCGCAGAGCGGCCGGCTAGTATTCCCGCCGGACCGCCGCACGAGAACAGACGACGGGCGGCGACGAGGCGGCGACGGGGCGGCGACGGCGACAACATAGCCGCCAGACCGCCACACGGGCCCAGACGCCCAGGCGGCGGCGAGGCGCCGACGGCGACGACGTAGCCGCCAGACCGCCGCACAGGCCCAGACGACGGGCGGCGACGAGGCGTCGACGGGGCACGAACAGCGACGGACTCGTCGCTAGGCTGCCACACAAGCTCAGTCCCTCAGAAAAGATCTAGGAACGCCTGAATGCAAGCACTCTTTGGGGACAACGCCATGTACAATCATCCATTTGCACAGGGGGTCCTACCTCGTTGAATGGCTGTCACCTGCTAGAACCATTGAGGGTGGATCCTCAACGCGCAAGCCCGGGTCTGCCCCGAGCTGCGGGCCCACCAGGCGCTCGTCATTCAAAGGGGGGCGACGCCCAGTGTGGACAGGAAAACATCCGCAAAGGCGTAACCTGGAGAGGGGACCCGGCACGGGAAGCCTCCCGACTCTCCCGTCGCGGGAACACCGGGGTGGACTGGCGCATGGGAGAGAAAGACCTGGACTCGGACGCACACCGCCGATAGACCGGCACCGCACGCTCCTGGTCGGTGTGGGCCATCGGACCCCCATCTGCGATGGATAGGCGATTTGCAGGTCGAGGCATCCCCACCTGAGTCGATCCTCCCCTAAAGTTGCCCCTTGGCATTTGGGCCACGCCTCAGGTCTCCCGCGGTCGTCCGGGACGATCTGGACACCCACTGAGCGCGGTCGGCGAGGCGCAACCGCTGAAAGGCACCTCGAACCCTCCTGTCCAGTTTTTCTCCTTTCCCCTCCCCTCCTTCTCTCCTCCTCCGCCTCCCCCCTCCCCTTCCAGCCGCTTGCGGCACCTCCTCCCCGTCCCAGCCAATTGCAGGGGAGGTTGAAGCGACGGGGTGCCTCCTAGCCCCGGCTGAAGCCACTCCCTTTCCACCCCCCAATCTCCTCCCCACGTCGTGCTTGGCCGAAACGCCCAAAATGTCCCCCTCCCATCGTGCGGTCGCAGGCTACTGTAGGGGTCCGACCACAAGAAACCGTCTACAAGAAACCCAATCCTGGGACCCCAGGGCATCCATGGATTTTTGGTGCGGGAACGTCACGCTCTCCATCGCCAAACCATCGAAACCCAAGACATCCAGGGCATCCTGCAGGCAAGCAGGGTGTTTTTTGGCATGGTTCCCCACTGTAGAGCACGCTCCCTTTGAGGGGCAACGATAGGGGGGGACTGGCGTAAGGGGGGGATGCATCCGCCTGGAATCGGCGATACATCGCCGATAGATCCGCGATGGGCCCCCGATAGCCAATCCGCACCTTCCCGGGCAGCCTGGGGCCATCGGGCCCCTCTCGGCGATCAGTGGGCGATGGGGGGTGGCTGCATCCCCCCCCTACAGTCGGGGCCTCGACCTAAGGAACCCTAAATAAGGAACGAGGCCCCTTTGTTCCATAAGTTAAACTTCGATTTCCCATCGAAAACGTAAGGAAAACCTGAGGCAAGCTGTGAAACACTTAAGGAACGCGGAGCCCCCCCCCAACGAAAAGGGTTCCTTCTTCAGGGCCCCGGCTGTATGCCCCTCCCCGCCCATATCGTTGCCCCTGGGGTTGCTTCTTGGCCTGGCCCCCCAACCGTAGAGCACGCGCTCCCCTCCCCCCCATTCGCCGCAGGCCGGCGCGCCTCCGCCGAGCCGCCGCCGCTCCTCGAGGGGGAGCCTGCGCCGCTCCTCCCGCCGCGCTGCCCGGCGAGGGGGCGCGGGGAGGAGGCGGCCTCCTCTGCCACGCCTCCTCCTCCTGCTCCTCCTCCTCTGCCATCCTCGCCGCCTCCTCCTCCTGCTCCTCCTCCCCTCCGCTCCCTCGTCCAACGCCGTCCTGGTCGCGTTCTCTCCTCCGCGCCGTGGTCCCCCTCGGCCTCCTCCTCCTTCCCCGCCCAACCTTCATGGTTTTCCTCCCCGTCCCCCTGATCCGTGCGTTCCCAGGTGGTCACCAGATTCGCAAACGGAATGGGGCGTGCCGAATGATGAATCTGCCTGCGCCCACTCTTGGATCGTCCAGGGGGATGAAATAGAAGGGCCTGAATCAGACAAGCGTTCTGCTCGACGAATTTCAGTTGACGCTCGAACCTGAGCAATGGCTGTGTGAATGTTTGGGCTGTGTTGTGGCAGCGGGCTAGAGGATGGAATTGTCTTGCATTCGTTGGAAGGTGACGGCCGACCTTTTGCGTGCCAGCAAAGGTCGAAAGCTGTCAAATGTCTTTGATGGTTCCCATCGCTCGCGACGGGAGGTTGCTGAACTCAACACAGGAATTATCCGCCGACCCCTTGGGATTCCATCGGCGTGGGAGATGCCCCCCCCCCACCCCCCCCCCCCCCCCCCCCCGGAACCGGATCTGGTCGATTTGGAGGGGGGGGTCTATCCGGGCTGGCTGGGGGGCTCCTTTGCTCCAGAAACTCTGCCGGGAGGGCATCGAGGGCCTCAAAATGGGCTCCGAAGGCCCCCAGAGATCTCCTAGACGGTCCAAGTGGGCCTCCAGACGGCCCAAGACGCCTCCAAGACGCCCCAAGAGGGCCCCAAGAGCCAAAATCGGTGATTGTAATTTTTGTTGTCCAATGTGCTTGGCTTCCTCGCCTTTTCCGGCTTCCGACGCTCGAAGACGGCCCAAGAGGCCCCCACGACTGTCACAAGACGGCCCAAGAGGCCCCCAAGACGGCCCCAAGACGCTCCAAAAAGGCCCCAAGACGGTCCAAAAGGACCGCAAGAGGGCCACCAGGCGGCCCAGGAAAGGCCCAAGAAAGGGACCCTAACTTTCCGCACCAAGAGGCGCCCGGGAGGCCCCAAGAGGCCCCCAAGGGGCCCCAAGAGGCCCCCAAGAGATACATTAAAGGCCCTAAAGATACCCCAAGAGGCCCCAAAACACCCACCCAGATGCCTCCAAACTGCCCCGGGCAGGCCCCCGAGAGGCTCCTCACCAGATCCGAACGAACATCCCAAAGGCCTCTGAACCACAACCCAGGCATGGTGGCGGGATGGACCGAAGTCCACTAGACATAAATACAAGCAGAATAATCAAGCAGGATCGTGCAGCAATGGAACAAATTTTCGATGATGTGATAGGGCAGATTCAACGCCCCGCAAAAGTTGGACTTGCTCGAGCAAGTTCACCAGGCGATTGCAGAGCACGACGCGATTCCTTGCTGTTCGATGGGGGGTCAAGTGGGACCCCGTGTTTAGGCTCATGGACCCCTGAGGCTCCTCTGGTGGTCTTTGGGAACGCGTCGGGCGGGGCCAACATTCGCGACAGCAGGCTCCGCCGTTTAGGTTTGGTCATAGTGTTATGCTTGTGAGTTTGCACCGCAAGTCCTGTAGCCTCACCTTCTCGGGCCTTCGGTGTCACCCGCTCAGGGTGTCCCCCACAAGAGCTAAAGACTCTGAACAACTCAGATTTCAGATGTTCATTGTCTCGTTAGGCACGCTGGCTGATGCGACTCTGACTGTTCCCATGTCGCTCGGTATGCCGAGGCCCATCGCACGACCGATATTATACCAACACGTTGCTCTGCAGTCAGCAGCGCGATCCATCTAAAACCGGCAATCAACCAAACCCCTTCGCATTCGGGAAGAGAAGGAGTGGTCACTCGGAGATGGACACTGATTCAGAGCAACAGCAGCAGCGTTGGAGGTTTTGGCATGGCGGACTGCCATGCGAGCGCAAACCCCGCAGCTCGGAGGACATGGACGCTCATGTGGAGAAACTGACTTTATGTCGAGAGAACGCGTTTCGTGGACGCTTCCCTGGACGACAAAAACCTCGACACGCTGAACCGTGTGATGGGCGTGTTTTCCACCACCACCACCATAAGTTGGAGGGGGGGGGGTCCTCCTCATCTTCCTCCTCCTCCTCCTCCTCCTCCCTCCTCCTCCTCCTCCTCCTCCTCCTCCCCCTCCCCCTCCTCCCCCTCCTCCTCCTCCTCCTCCTCCTCCGCCTCCTCCTTCCCCCCTCCAACTGATGGTGGTGGTGGTTGGTGGTGGTGGAAAGCGGGGGACCCTCCCCTGAGTTGCAGACAGGGGAGGGGGTTCGAAACGGAGGGGGGGGGCGCGCGCCCTGAGGGAGGGTTCGAAGGGTCTCCCCTGCGCTTGCAAGAGGGGGGCGGGGAGGGGCTGCGCGGCCCCCGAGGGGCCTCGGGGCGCTCCCGAGGCGCCTCCAAGGGCCCCGAGAGGCCTCCGCACGGCACCCGGTGGGCACCCGGCCGGCGCCCGAGGATGTCGAGAGGCGTGAGGCGTCGCACGTGACGGCCTCCCGTGCCGCCTCGAGTAGACGCCACCTGCAATGCTGCGCCGGGGCGGCGGCGGCACTCCGCCAGGCATATATGCGGCGTGAGTGGTGCTGAGTGTCTCGTCTTCCCGCCTCCTTCTTCCCCGTCGGGCAAAGGCCTCCCCTTCCCCTACGTACCCCCTACCCCTGGACCTTGTCGGGGCGCCCCGCGACCCACTAGAGCGTCCGAGAAGGCCTCGGCGAGAAACCACAACTCATTGGTTTGACTTGTACTTGGTGCCAATGTTTGGCCCCCACGGGGGCTGTAATCCCCCATCCCGCTTCTTCGAGCAGGGCCCCACGAGGCGCCCAGGAGGCCCCAAGAGGCTCCCAGGAGGCTCCCAAGAGACCCCCAAAAGATCCCAAGAGACTCTCCCGAGGCACCCCAGACGCTTCAAGAGGCCCCCAGGACCGCTAAGAGGCCCCCAACACGCCCCAAGAGGACTCCAAAAATCTTCCAGGAGACATCCGAAGAGACTCCGAGAGGCATCCAAGAGGCCTCTGGCCATTCTGCTCGCCCTCCTCCTCCCCCTCCTCCTCCTCCTCCTCGTCCTCCTCCTCCTTCTCTTCCTCTTCCTCCTCCTCCTCCTCCTCCTCCTCCTCCTCCTCCTCCTCCTCCGTCTCCTCCTCCTTCTTCCTCCTCCCTGTTCCCCTTCCCCCTCCTCCTCCATGTTCCCCTTTCCTCCCCCCCTTCTCCTCCCCCTCATCCTCCTCCTCCTTCTTCTCCATCCTCCCCCTCTTAGGGTATGACGGCTTCCCCAGCCCGTTATTCCCCTGCATGCTCCCCCACATCCCTGATCAAGGCAACTCGCCTGGGAGACCTTTCTGCATGGGCTGGTGGGGTTGCTTTTTGGTCGCGGCCGCGAGACGACGGTCAGGCGGCAAGGGCAACGTCCAGGCCACGGGCGAGGCTAATTGCTAAGCAGAGGCGCCGGCCGGCCCCCTCAGACGGCGGCTGCAGGCTGGGTGACGCTGAACAGGCTGGCGTACTGCGCTGGTGGGGTTGCGCGGAGCGTCTAGATTGCAGGGGGCAACTGGATACGTCGTAATCCGATTCGCAACGCCTTCTCCGCCCCCTCCCAGAGAGGAGGAGGAGGAGGAGGAGGAGGAGGAGGAGGAGGAGGAGGAGGAGGAAGGAGGAGGAGGAGGGAGAAGGATGAGAAGGAGGAACGAGAAGGGAGGAGGAGGAGGAGGAGGAGGAGGAGGAGGAGGAGGAGGAGGAGGGACTCCAACAGATCACGCCATCCAGCCTTGGACCCCCCCCCCTCGCGGCTCCTGCCACGCCATCAGCGGCGGCATGTACAGGACCTCCGCGGGCGGCAGCAGAGGGAGAGGCACCCGTCCCACCAGCCTCCCTCGCGAAGCGGAGGAGCTGGAGGTTCTCGGGGCAGGCATTCGTACTGTGCCTCATCTCCTCCTCCGCATCCTCCGTGTCCTCCTCCTCTTTCTCCTCCTCCTCCTCCTGGTCATTCGCCTCCCTCCTCCGTGCCCCTCCTGGCTGTCCTGATTACTGTCTCTGATCCTTATCCTGTCACATTCGTCCTCGTCCTCCCTCCGCATCCCCCGTCAACCATTATCATGCGTCATCCCACTCCTCCTCCATTTCTACACCGCCTCGACTGAGCCCCTCGGGTCACGGTACCATGTAACACCATGGCCAGTACGGTTGCAGCCGCAAGTGCACATGTTTCAAGTCTGCCAGGAGCTACTCAACTACTCATACGCATGTGCAAGCCATCGATCGCGAAAGTGCCCTCATTCGCGTGATGGCTCTGCAGAACATAAACGACTATACGGCGGTTGGGCAAGAGCTGGAACACGTAACGGCATGAATCGCACCCGCCAAGCCATCGTCTGTCCTGCAGTCCCTTCTGTCTGCTAGATGTTTGCATCAACCCATGTTCTCACTAAGAGACGTCGTGGGTACCAGAAGCGCCAAGGACTGGCAACGAAAGCAGCATCCAAGGCCTAAATGAACTGCCCATGCTTTGACTCAGCCCATGTTGACAAAGATGTTAAGAAACCACCCCCTGGGTGGCGGGTGCAAGCAGCGGGGGGCTGGTAGTCCGCATGTGAGCCATACTGTAAGGTTTCACGCGGGGCTGGGAGGGGGGTAGTGTTGTACTAGCTGCAGATGTTGCGCAGCTCTGCAGCCAGCACACCAAGCCCAGGCATCCCTTTAGATTCTGAGCTGGTGCTCGGAGCGATTATATTACCTGCTGGCGTCGGCTAAGAAGGTCACAGCAAAGCTGAGCTAGCCAAGACGTCCAAATCTTGAACAAGTCCTTCGCTCTGTCTTCAGGCGCATGTCCAAATCGAGCTACAAGAATGCCCCGCATGACCAAAACCAAACAACACCGCTGTAAAATGACCACCCACTTGTGCCACTGTGCTCCCTATGGCACGACACTTCGCATCAATCCAGAGTCCAGCGCATTGAAAGCATGCATCGTCAAAGGTCCTCCACCGCACGGCCTGGTCACGAGATTGCCCGAACCCGTCGCTACATCCAGACCCCCAGAACCCCAATGGGGATGCGAAGCGGAGCGAGCCGAGGGGCGATCGCGGCGGCCAGCAGCAGGAACGCCAGCATCACGCAGAGGCCCAGGTAGAGGCCGAACTCCCGCAGCGGCTGCAGCACGCTCACCATGTTCGCCTGCATGGGCCGCGCGACGCTGGGCTTCCTCCGTCCCCACAACCGACTCCTCCTCATATCCCGCCTCATATAGCAATCGCGCTATCGTTGAGTCGGGCCTGTCCCCCTACAGAGGGATTTTCGACGAAAAACCAAACGAAAAATGTCCCCAAAAGGTAAACATAGATTCAAAACATAGTCCCCAGACTATGTTTGGACTATGTTTTGACTATTTTGGGGGTATTTTGTATTTTTCCTTGAGAACCCCCCTGTAGGGGGACACGCCCGACTTAACGCTATCGTAAGACACTCCAGGTAAGGAACGGAGAGGTTTTTTTCTGGCCGAGGCGAACCTCGACCACGAAGACGCCCCCGCTCCGGATCTCAGGCACGGCCTGAGCACCGGAGGCCCTCCTGAGCCCCAAAAGCGGCCCTTCTTGCAGCGTCCCGCCCTGGACTCCCCCCGCCCCTCCCTCGTCCTCCTCAGCTCCGACATCGTCTGTCTCCTGCCCTCCATCCTCTCATCCCTCTGCCCCGTCTCCTCCTTCCCCCCTCCTCGTCCACCGCCGTGTCCGATCACTTCCATTCACCTCCGCCACCTCCTCCTACGAGTCCTCCCGCTCCCCTCCAACCTTCCCCCCACCCCGACGGACCAGGTTCGTTACTCACGCCTCCTCGCACGGCCAGCTGTGATGGGACATGGTCACAAACCACAATTCTCAGCGTTGGGTGCGATTCCGATCTCGACAAGCTGTTCTACGATCGCGGCACGCATCGGACGTCTCCAAACGCGCCGCACGCTGGAAATCGCGGCGCACAGTCAAAACGGTGCTTCCAAGTCGCCAGGGATCTGGAGTTCCCAACCTTCAGCTGGAAACGGAGGGAGCTCCTCGGGAACTCACGGTCCTATGTGGCCTAGCGCCAGGCATGGGCACTACATTTGACATAACATAATGGCGTGGGTCGTCCTAGCATGCGCGGCCACGTGGAGTGGGGAAGGGGGAGAGGATAGAGATGACGAGGAATAAGAGGCCGAATGCCGATGACGCCCTCAGACCCCCCGGAAACCAAGTGAACATTGAAGTGTAAATAGTAATGAAGGGGGGAGGGAATGAAATGGGGAAGGGGAATGCACACATGTGTATACATATATATATATACATACATGTATCTATATATACATACATATATCTATATACATATGCATTTACATATACAATTCAAATGGAGGGGGCCGAACTGTCATGCACTGTCCCTGGGTGCGTGTCTGAAGTGGGTCTCCGCGGTACAGATTGTTGTTGCGTTGCTGATGCTGCTGTCGTTGTTGTTGTTGTTGTTGTTGTTGTTGTTGCCATCGTTATTGTTGGTAGTGTTGTTGTGCTAACATGGTTCATGATTATGTTGTTGCTGTTGCACTCTCACTAAGGAACAATTGTTGTTGATCCTCCCCTCCGGTGACCATTGTATTTCTCAATTGGGAAATTTCCCCGGGGTTCGCACCCAGTATTTTTCCGATGGGAAACAGTCACCAAGCTCAAACTCAAACTGTGCCCATGGCCCCCGGGTTACAGCAACAACGGTTTCCGCCTAAGATTTCCTAACAATTTAGACAGGACCCCCGCTCCTGCCTGAGAGCACCTCGCAGTTTACTCAGGTTTCGCGCTCTCGTTTGAGACTGAGGGCGCGCCGCTGAATTGCCCAAAGGGGGGGTGGGGGGGGCACTCCCCCGCCCCGCTTTCCCCGATCCGTCGTCGGGGATCCCCCCCCCCCCCTCCCTCCACCCGTTTCCCAGTCCGTCGTCGGGGACCCCCCCTTTCCCCCCCTTTCCCAGTCCGTCGTCGGGACACCCCCCCCTCCCCCCTTTCGAAAGAGGGGGGTGGTCCGAACCCCCCTCCCCCGTCCCCCCCTTTGGCCGCCAAATTCGCACCCCCCTCCCCCCCTTTCGCCACGGATCCCCCTGGCTCTGGAACCCGACCCCCGTCACCCCTAGCACTACCACCCGGACCGCCCGTAACCCGAACCCCAAACCCTAACCCTAGCCCCAAACAGCACTCAGTACTCACTATTCGCTACCCACGACCCACTGCTCACTACTCGCTACTCACTACTCACTTCTCACTATTCACTACTCACTACTCACGACTCAATATTCACCACCCACTATTCACGACCCACTACCCACAACGCACTACTCACTGCTCACTACTCCCAACTCACTACTCAATACTCACTATTCACTACCCACTACTCAATACTCACTACGTACTCACTACGCACACAAACTCACTACCCACTACTCACTACTCATTAATCACTACTCACTACCCACCAACCACTATCCACTACTCACTACTGAATACTCACAATTCATTACTCAAAACTCCCTGCCCACAACTCACTATTCAGTATCCGATGCTCGCTTCGCGCTACTCACTAGTCCTTACACCGCACTCACTGCTCACTACTCACTACTCGCTACGCAATAGTCAATACCCACTTCGCACTACTCACTACCCACTACTCATCACTACTCCCTCCTCGCTAGTCACACGTCACAACTAACTACCCATTACCCAGTCCTCACTGCTCACTACTCACGACGCATTACTCACTACTCTCTACTCGCTACTCCCTACGCGCTACTCATTACCCACAACCCACTTCTCACTTACCACTACTTTCTGGCCACTACTCCTTACCCCGCACTCGCTACTCACTACTCACAGTGCACCAGTCACTACTCGCTACTCCCTACTCGCAACTCACTACTCCCTACTACTAACTACTGACTACTCCCTCCTGACTACTCACTACTCACAATGCCATACTCGCTGCTCACGATTCACTTCTCGCTACTCCCAACCCGCTACTCACTATTCACTTCCCGCCCCCCCCTACCCACTACTCACTGCCCACACCTCACAGTTCACTACCCACTACTCGCTACTTCCTACTCGCTACTCACTACTCCCTACTGCCTCCTCGCTACTACCTACTCACAATTCCCCACCCATTACTCACTATTCACTACTCGTTACCCCCTACTCGCTACTCACTACGCACTACCCACACCCCATTCCCCACTACTCATTACTCACTGAGCACTAGTCCCTACTCGCTAGTCACTCCTCACTTTTCACTACTACATACCCACTACTCACTATTCACTACTCACTACCCACGAGTCTCTACTCACTACTTACTACCCACTATTCCGAGGCCTGACCCCCCCCTTACGGGAGAGGCCCCCTCCCCGGCCGCCTGTTCGGCGCGGGGGAGGGGAGGGGGTTCAACCCCCCCACCCCACCCCCCACATCTAGCGCCAAGGGTGGGGAGGGTCCAGACCCCCCCCTGAGGGGGGGGGGCTCGGACCCCCCCTCCCGAAGGGGGGGAAGGGGGGAGGGTCGAAAATCTCACCCCCACTTGACGGGGGGAAGGGGTGGTTCTGCGAGCACACCCCCTCTGTTAATTTACGGTGGCATCCACTGGCGCGCTTTCCTTGAGACTTCTTGAAATTTGATTCACGCATCGCTCTCTCTCTCTCTCTCTCTCTCTCTCTCTCTCTCTCTCTCTCTCTCTCTTTTTTCTCTCGAGGATCTGAAATCGCGCTCGTGCGTTGAAAATGTCCCGCGATTCACTTAAGCGCCGCGTTCCCGACACTCAGGCACCCAGGAGTCGCGCTCACGCTTCGGACTCCCTCGCAGCTTACTCAAAAATCGGAATGTTGCCGCCCTTCGTGGCCACGTTGCAGCCTTTCGTGGCCCCCTCGCTGCCCTTCGTGATCCTCGCTACGCTTCGTGGCCCACTTGCAGCCCTTCGTTGTCCCCCCATCGCTGCCCTTCGTGGCCCAGTTGCAGCCCCTCGTGGTCCTTTCGCTGCCCTGCGCACGTTGCAGCCCTTGGCGGCCCCTTCGCTGCCCTTCGTGGACCCGTTCTGGCCCTTCGTGGCCCCTTCGCTGCCCTTCGTGGCCCCGTTGCAGCCCTCCGCGGCCCCCTCGCTTGCTCTTCGTGGCCCCGTTGCAGCCTTTCGTGGCCCACTCGCTGCCCTTCGTGGCCCCGTTGTGCAGTCCTTCGCTGCCCCTCGCTGCCTTTCGTGGCCCCGTCGCAACGCTTCGTGGCCCGCTCGCTGCCATTCGCGGCCCCGTTGCTGCCCTCAGTGGCCCCGTCGCTGCCGTCCGCGGCCCAATATAAGTATTCGGGGATCTGCTGACCCGGGTCAATCCAGACCCGGGTCAGCAGGAAACCAAAAACTGCAATGCAGGAAAAAAAACTGCAACGCAGGTCTTCGCAAACCCGGGTCAGCCAATACGCGCGGCCGCCTCGCGGCCACGAGCGGCTCGCTAACCCGGGTCAGCCAGAGGGGGCCTTCGCAGGATCCTGCAGGATCTGGCGCTCTGGCTGACCCCCGTTTGCACTGACCCCCGTCTCTTAGGCCCCGAAGTATGTTTTTTCGTGGCCCCCGGTGGTTTCCGCCCGTCGTGGCCCCATATGCGTGCTCTTCGTGGCTCCGCTGTCGCCCTTCGTGGCCCCTCTCGCTGTCCTACATGGCCCCGTTGCTACCCTCAGTGGTCCCGTCTCTGCCCTCTGCGGCCCAACATTATCTGCCCTTCGCGGCCCCTGCTCTTTCGCGCCACTCGCGGCCCCATACGCATACTCATCGTGGCCCCGCTGTCGCCCTTCGTGGTCCCCTTCCTGCCCTTCGTGGCCCCGCTGTTGCTCTCGTTTTCGCTCTCGTTCCCGCTTTCGCTCGTCGTCGTCGTCGTCGACGTCGTCGTCGTTGTCGTTATGGTGTCCCCTGTCCGTCCTTCTTGGGGTCGGGTTGCCGCCGATCCGCGCTGCTGCTGGCCTGGCCGACGGTCCGCGGCCGCCCCGCCGCTTGCCGGAGCCTGGCCTGCAGGGAAGAAAGATATACCCCCCAGAAGCGGGGACGATCGAAAACGGAGAGGGCGGGTATCGAGGGTTTGGGAATACGCGTCGAATGACATGCGAGCAGATATGGGCAAACAGTTGTTTGAAGTTGTT